CCTCTTTTCTTGGCCTGTTGCTGTGCATAACTGCATTTGTCCATGTTCCTGTACACTAGATAAGGACACTAGCCCGTCCTCCCTGCCCCCTCTGCCCAAGTGCCTCTGCCTTACAGCAGGGAGCACTCACTACTTTAAGATCCTTTTATTTTAACAGTCAAAGTACATGACTTTAATCGACTACAACCATGTCCCTTGGACATCAGTGTGTATAATTGCACATGCTTCCTCCCATTTGAATAAGATCCAACCCCTTCACACACTTTGCCTTGCATTAAGGGTGCTGACCACTAAGACCTCTTCTCTTGGTCTGTTATTGTGAATAACCACATTTGTCTGTGTTCCTGTGCACTGGGTAAGGACATAGCCCTGTCCTCTCTGCCCCTCCACCCTCGTAGTGCCTTTGTGTTTGAGCAGGCAGCACCCGCTACTTTAAGATCCTTTTATTTGGACAGTCAAGGTACATGATTTTATTTGACCACAACCATGTCCCTTGGACATCAGTGTGTATAACTGCACATGGTTTGTCCCATTTGAATAAGATCCTACCCCCTCACACACTTTGTGGGATACAGCAAGGATACTCACCATTAAGTCCTCTTTTCTTGGCCTGTTGCTATGCATAACTGCATTTGTTCATGTTCCTGTGCACTAGATAAGGACACAGGCCTGTCTTCCCTGCCCCCTCTGCCCCAGTACCTCTGCCTTACAGCAGGGGGCACTCACTACTTTAAGACCCTGTTATTTCAACAGTGATGGTACATGACTTTAATTGACCACAGCCATGTCCCTTGGGCATTAATGTGTATAATTGTATCTTGTTCATCCTATTTAAGATCCTACCCGCTCACACCCATTTTACAATATAGCAGGGTTGATGACGACTAAGGTCTCTCTTGGCTAGTTAATATGTATGATTGTATTTATGATGGTTCTTGTGCACCAGACAAAGATGTCCCCCATCAAACTCTCCTTGCCTTCCAGTAGGTGGTGTCCACTGCTGAAGACCCTTACATTCAGATAGTTATTGCACCTGATTGCCGTTTTCCACAACCCTGTCACTTCCTGGACCATTGTACTTCTTTTGCATTACTTCAGTGGCTACTGTTTTGCCCCAGGGTGCCTTTTAGTGGTGTGTGATATGCATAATTGCAACTGTTTTGGTCTTTATTATTAAACAAAGCTCATTCCTTCTTACATTTCCTTTGCATTATAACAGGGCTTGCTGCTCAACAAAGGCCCTCCTCTTTGGACTATTAATGTATATAGTTACTTTTGCCCCTGTTCTTTGCACTACTTGAGGGCCCCACCTGCTTCCTTAACATTTTCAGCAGGTAGTTCCCACTATTCAAGATCCTTTCATCTGACAAGTTGACGTGCACAGTTTTCTACTAGCATGTCTTACACCAGAACCCCTGCACACTCTGCTTTAGAGCAAGGGGATGCTGTTCACCTAATACCCTTCTTTTGGACTTTAATGTGCATAATTGCAATTGTCCATCTGTTTAGTTGGACTAGGATTCTGTCCCCTCAAGCCCTTTGTGTTAAGTTGTGCTAGCCATGCATGTTCCCTTCTCCTGGGAATATAAATATGAGTTATTACATTTGTCTGTGGACCTGTGCAGTAGAAAAAGACTCTATGCCCCTACCATTACCTTTGGATTGCTGCCGAAGAGTGCTAGCTATTTATGTCCTCAGCTCTTGCACAGTTAATATGCACCAGTTACAACTGTGGAGAATACTGATCACTAAGACCCTTGTACCTCTTTGCATACATGAGGAGCGCTGACTACTTAAGGCTCCTTTTCTTAGACTAATGTGAATATTTGCAGTTATCTGTGTCCTCTTCTGTTAAACTAAGATATCATCTCCTCACACCCCCTTTACATTACTACAGATGCTGCTGACCACCCAAAACCTTCTGGACTATTAATGGGTACAGTGGCAATTATCAATGTTTTTGTCTCCCTAGCCCTGTTAGGCAAGCACCCCATTCCCAAATTCCCATGGCATAATGAAGTGTAAACATTGCAAAAGGCTCTGATCTTTTCCATCAAACCAGGGACTCACACTCTCCTTTTGCCTTGCTCCAATGTATAAAATCCCAATTACTCATGGTCTCACCCTTCATAAAAGGTCTTTTCCCTCACCCCGTGCCTGCCCTTGGACTCCTCTTATGGACCATTATTAATGCTCACAATTTCAGATGTCCATGTATCCAGTCATTAGATAAGGTCATACTCTCCGCTCTCCCTGCCCCTTCTGCATTGTTGGGGAACATTGACTGGCAAGGTCCTTTCTCTTGGACGTTTAAGTTTAACAGTCCTAGAGGTCATTGGTTTACCAACTTTGTATTGCTGTAATGCCTCAGTTGTACTTTCCTTGGTCCCTCCCATACACCCTTCCACTTCCTTGTTTGCATTGCTTTTGAGTAGTGCTGACTTCTCAAAGCCCCTTCTTTTGTATTATCAATGAGCACAGTACCAATCGTCCCATTTTTCAGCCCATCACTACAAGATCCCTCTGCCACTTTGGTTGTATGTTTGTGCAGTGTTAACTACCAAAAGCAGGACTGGATTAGGTGGCTGGACCTTCACTCTTTTTCCTACATTGTTAATGTTTCCAATTATTGTCAATTCTGGGGGCAGGAACCATTCTTGCCCACCTGTTACTACTCTATTGTACAGAATACTTAAGGAAAGTCAGACCCAAGGAGCTGAATTGCCATCCTTTATTTTGGGTTTTCAATATATAGTATCAGTTGAAAATAGGAAGGAGATTAGCCCTTTCCCTGCATTCTGCTTCCAAAGCAGACTACCTGAACAAGAATCTGTCCTCTCCTTTTTTTTTTTTTTTTTTTTTTTGTATATTGCTATTGTGCAGTGCCAGTTGCCAGGATACAACCGGAAAAACTGGTGTTAATTTTTTACATTTTTAAGAAAGACATTTGGATTGCAAGGTGGAATTGATAACCTGGTCATTAATACTTTAAAGTCGAAAATTCCATTTATAGCATGTACCGATGACCAGTGTCTCTCATTTTACTGAAGGTGGTGAGTCTGTGGACAGACCACTGTGACTCTTGCTGTATGAGAATTATCAAGGAGTTCTGGAGTACAACTCTTTCAGATAAGTGTCCTTGTTTGGGCTGTACCACCATTAACTTTCAGAAAAACTACCTAAACATTCTAATCCTTAAATTTCTTCATCTGGAGCACCAGCCCATACTTATTTTAAGAGGATTCCTATAAAAGGATTACATGAAAGAAAATTTGCTGGGGTGCTTTTGAAAACCATAGATTGCCTTATTTGGTTAGTTTATTATATAATAGGCACCCTCTTTAGTTCTGCAAATAATTTGAAGTAGCCTGAAGCACTACACCCAAGTGAGGACCTATCTTAGAAATGATGGGACCTGTTTCCCTATTTTATTTTATAAGAAAAATAAGCCAAGATCTAATCATTCTTCTGGATATGAATTTCAACAGTGAGATAGCTGTGTAGTAAAAATTACTAGTATGCCCACCACTAGTTTACAGGGTGTTTTATGGCAGGGGAGTATTTAATATGGAACTGCTGAAGCAAATAACTAGTCATCACAACACATAACTAGTCATCACAACAGCAGTTCTTTGTAATCACTGAAAAAGGACACTATTTCTCTGAGAAGGATGTCAAAAGATCGGCTCAACTCGGCGCAGTTTGCACTACTAGCTCCTTGGACAGCTGTAAGAAGAGTCTCTGGCTCTTTAGAATACTGTAAGTACTACTTCACAGATATTAAATAATCTTTTCCCTGTTCTACTTTCTATCTTTTAGATACCACCCATAGAAAAGTCAGTAGGTCCAGAAAGTTTATTTTCTTTCCTTGTTCCCACCTCATCTACAATATATAAGTCTGTCTGTTTACCTTTCTATCCATCCATATATCTATCTATCCATATATATCACCATATAAATTAACCAGCAGAATTACAGAATATTGTGTACTACCCCTATGCTAGGTTACACAGAGGTAAGGGACAAAAATGGTATAGTGCTATGTAATCTCATCCTTAAGGTGGCTATCTTGTTGAGCTAATATAAATAAGCACACTTGAAATAATTTGATAATCAAGTGCTATCTTGCAAGAATTGTACATTAGAGTTGTTTTTTAAAGGAGCCCATTGAAATTTGAATTTGATAGCATAAACTTCAAGATGGTTTACTTTTTCTCTGTGTGCCAGGATATGATTAATATTGCATCCATCTGGGTAATCCAGTTGGTTTAATGTCATTTGTTTTTTACCTGTTTTGGAGGCATGAAAAGAGATTAAAGAGATAGGGACTGGTCATTGTGTTTGGCTGTATATACTAAGGCTGGCAAATGGTGATTGTTAAATCTCATTGTAATTTAAACTTTTCAAGATAAAGGGATTGGGGATATAAATGTAATACTTTGGCTCTTTGCACGATTTTATTCTATTTCTGCCTAAGAACAGATGACTGTGGCTAATCTAGAGCAGAGTAGAGATACTTTTTTAGTTTGGGATATTTGTGGAAACGTTTGGCAGGAGGGCAGTGGAGAAGTGTAATAACTTTTACAAGAAAACCTTGACCTTGCCTGCTTTATGGCTCTAGTTTATATAATTCTTCCCTTTCCCTTTTTCAACAGTATCTTGGTAAGTGAAAAGAAGCTTAGCCTCTCTGATGTAAAACAAACACAAAGGTCCAGTTAAGGAAATTCCTTAACATAAAACTTGAAAGATTTCTTGTGCATACACATGCATCCTAGCAGGAACAACAAGAACCATATAAATGAACTGGGCTTTTCTTACTGCTCATTTTAATTCACATCCATAGTTCCTCACAGCATGTTTTCTCCCCTAGGCCTAAAGACATTATTTGTCTGACTGGGGTAACATATAAATTAGTACTGAGCCTTCTTGGAAACATGGTCTGTGGACTTGTTTCTTGTAGACAGCATATTGATGGATCCTGTTTTCTTATCCATTCTGTCACTCTCCGTCTCTTTATGGGTACATTGAGTCCATTTACATTCAGTGTAATTATTGATAGATGTGGGTTTGTGGCTGAAATTTGTAGTGCTTTTTTTTGTGGTGCTGAAGTTTTCTTTGTTCTTCTTACTCTC